AAGCATTAAATAATGCCAAAATGGGGCATTTTCAATGCCTCATTGCTCCTTAATGAGCATGGGCACCCCCTTTTTTATTTCAAAATTGAAGTTATCATATGACAAATATTCAGTGGGCAAAGTTTGAACAAAAATCTATTGTCACTTTTTATTTCAGAGGAATTACCTTAAGGGTACCACAGAGCTATTGAAAAAAACAGCTGCAAAGCGTCTTTGCGCAAAAATTCATAAACTATTTATAACTAGAAAATATCTGCTTTTCATGTCATCAATGAATTGGTCAAGGCCCTAACTATAGTGTTATTGCAAAGGAAAATTCACAGATGATTTTCGACTTGACGCTGACGAGCTATGGATATGACAGAATTTTGATAGTTCAAATATCGAAATTTGGCTCTCGATCCGAAATTAGGGGTTTCTATTTAATTACTCTCAAAAAAATAAATATTACAACAAACTAACCTTGTTTTGTCTACTTTGGCACAAGGGCCTATCAATATAGAAAGTACGAGTGAAATCGATTATTTGGCTGTGTCCGCGATTTTGATGAACATATCTGATTTTTACTGACTCAGACTCTTAAACCTTTTCAGGACGATTCAATCAAGATGGGAGTTCGCGGACTTACCAGCTATGTCAACTCAATCGAAACTCTCTGGAAACGTCAGACCAAGCTCAAAAACACAAAACTTATCATAGACGGGTCCGGCTTATGTAACGATCTTTACAGGAACGCCTTCGACTGTCGACATGGAGGCCAGTACGAAGAGTTCCACGACGCTGTACTTTCGTTTTTCAATGCGCTTGATTCTAACGGTGTAGAATCCTTTGTAGTCCTCGATGGTGCACAACATGCAAGCGACAAAAAGTTAGAGACACGCAAGAAAAGGGCAAATCAGAGGATCGAAACATCTTTTGCCTTAGCCGAGAATCGGGCACCAGAAAACAGCGAAGACTTTCTTCTTCCGCTTTTGTCGAAGTTTGTGTTTCTGCAGGCGCTGATGGATCTCACGAGGGATCACGGTGTCAAATTCGCGGTCTGCGACAGGTAGGACGCATTATTACATTATTATAGTAGTAACAGTAGTAAATGTTTGCATGCATACAGTCGAATAGATAGGTGACTTGGAGACTGTTGCCAGTGACTGGACAGATATCTCCTTTGTGGTACGGCGAGATTAAAAATTTGCCGAGCGAAGCAGCCATGCCTATGCAGATCACTTAAGATGGTGACATCTTGGCGATGTCAGCTGTCAGAATGAACTAAATAATCTGCATTTTAGCTTATTTCACCAATTTTAGAATAACAGTACTTTTCATTTATTAGCCTGCGTAGCAAACGCTGGAGTAACGGCGAGAAGACGGTCGCGGGCGTAGACACGCAAGGAAAAGGAAATGCTTATTCCACTTGTCGACATTTTACCGAACGCGCCCTAACATGCCGCTCTCCCTTGGGGCGCCAACTGTCCCATGAGAACCAATGATCATCAATGTCCGCCAAATCAAGCGCCCAGCTTGAGTCCGCTAACAGCAAATAGTAATGCGCGTTACATAATGACCGAGTGTTATTACGCGAAACGTGACTCTCGCCTTGCAGCATATGGAGATGTTGTGTTACAAAAGTTTGAATTTATAAAGGTTTGGATGAGGAAAATAATCGACATTATAGCTGAAATTTTGATATTTTTCAATAAGAATGACTTACCTCAATGCCTTGTTGTCTTTTCTAGTGTCTTCTCGCTTCTGAGCTCGATCCGAAGCCTTTTTACCGACTTATCGCTTTTTGATTTTCCTCTCCTTTCTTAGATTAAAATAATAATAATAACTCCTCGCATCGTAAGCTTGGGCCGCCTGTGTTAAAATTTTCTCCTTCACTCCCACGAGTATTTGATAAATGGATTACAAGGACATCCTGTCCACATATAGTACTAGACTCTAAGCATCGGTTTTAGATCGATGTGTTTGCCGTTTTGCGAAAGACCTCTCAACGTTTCCTGAACAGAAAATTCGGATTATGCATGAATGTCAAATTTCTAATGTCACTTTTGACCAATCAAATTGCACTATTGCTTCCCGTTCGTGGGCGAACTAAACTGCGAGAAGGCTCCCTTGTTGTTTGGGTAGCGTATCGCGGGCAAGGGCGGCGGAGCCGCAACCGCGAGCCGGCGAAGCTGGCGAGAAGAATGGGGCGAGGAGAACTTTACCTCCCCCCATTCTTCTCGCCTGCTTCGCCGGCTTGCGGTTGCGGCTCCGCCGCCCTTGCCCGCGATACGCTACCCAAACAAGAAGTGAGCCTGCTTGCGGGCTAAACGGAGTTCGTTAAAATGTTTGGGATTGCAGGCGATTCCTTTTCTCCCCACCCCCTCCAATTCTCGCTCACCCCCTCCCCACCTCTCCCCAATTTTTTGCTCACTCCAGGCGCACTTCTTTGCTCGCCCGCTTCCTCGCTCGCTTGTTCGATCTCTTAGACTGGTGGCAGTCTGTTTTTCTCTCGAATTTCAGAAGGGGTTATGATGCGAGACGTTTTGGCTAAAGGGGAATGGGACCAGACATGGGCGCGGCACGCACGAGAAGAAAAAATTTTCTCGTCTCGCCTTCTTCCCTACTCGGCCACCGCCATACCGCCCTTTTGCGTTCGCGATGACTAAACACTCGTCGTAGTTCTAGCAGACCATCGATGTCTCCGCCTGGAAAAGGAAAGTAAACGGTTGCTACGCAGGTCATCACTCGAGCGTCTGCTATGCAGAGTATATTTTTATCCATACTACAGGCAAATGAATTGAGATTCTCGATCCTCGATCTTCCGACGAGGCACGACATTTAATTAAACAGAGAGTAATGGATTGAAGAAATGAATCAGTTTGGTGACGTTAGCGATATTGTTTCAGTTTCCAGGCCTTTTGATTCTTTTATACCTGAAAGATTTATTGCAAATAAACAACTAACGTAGCTACTTGGTATGAATGTAGATGCGGCGAGAATTGTTGAATCAGAATTTTTTTCTTGGAGTGTTTTTCATAATAAACAGACACCGGAGACCAGAATCCTTGATTTGAGCGAGACGACGAGCATCCTCGACCTTTTCATATCAAAGTTCCTCCCCCCCGCCCCGGGAACAAATGCAATGACAAAAGGATACAATTGCCTTGCCTAAGCACATCTTTATGTTTCTTTCAGCGAAGCAGACAATGAAATCGCCTCCTTAGCCAGCGCTTGGAACTGCCCTGTTTTAAGCAATGACAGCGACTTCTTTATCTTTGATATCAAAGGCGGCTACATCCCACTTTCTTCTTTCAATTGGAAAGCTGGTTTCTTAACTGCCGACATCTTCTATCGGGAAAAACTGGCATCACACTTTGGAATTAGCGAAGAATTTCTTCCTTTGTTCGCTTCTTTGGTGGGGAATGATTACGTGAGTTCCGAGGCATTGGCAGAGTTTAGACCCACACTGAATTGCGGAAAAGCGTCAAGATTTGCAAGCATTGCTAACATTCTGTCTCACTCCAGGACAGAAGAAGAGGCGCTCGAGTCTGCTCTACTAATGGTAGAGTCAGTGGTAAGCAGAGATAAACTAAGACAAGCTGTCAAGCATTCTCTCCAGGAATACAAGATCACAGAGTCACATTTGCTGCTCTATGTCGACAGTGGTGTGGTCGACAGCTCCTTGAAGACTCAAAATGGCCGTGAAATTGAAGGATGGATTTTGCCCAAGTTTCGCAAGGGACTGTTCTCCGCCAAATGTATGAACGCCTTGACAACGGGGAAACACTTTCTCAGAACTCAGGTTGAAAACTGTCTGGAAGTATCGGCTAATCAGTGCTCTCAGCGCCTGAGGAAAGTCATGTATGGCATTTTAAACGATGCTGCAGCTCACGACGGGAGAGGAAATATAACGATGGTCCAAGAATGGGACAGAGAGGGCTTAGAGGTCAAGTCGTCAAATGTGCCACCCTACCAAGAGGGCGTAGTCCCTGGAGTGAGTCTCATTCCAAGCCTCAAGAAAGATGAAAGATTAGAGGTTTTGTTAAATGCGCTTGATTCAAACACAGCTTCCATCAAGTCCTTGCCGGAGAAGTTTAAATTAATTGCAGCCTCACTTCGTTTTCTCGCAAGTAACGCACAGCCATCGTTGCAGGGGAATCACATCACCGCCATACTCTGCAGTTGTATTAAACTAGAAGACGGCTCGTGGAAACAATACATGAAAAGCACAATCAGTCAGTCGTTTGATCGGCAAGCAGCACAAAGCTTTGCTCAGTGGCAGTGTGTTTTGAGAGATGCTGTTCATCTGAACTTTGTTTTGCTTGAGCCTGTTGAAACACCGTGTATTCACAAAACGTTTAATGGACAACTGGCGCACTGTCTACAGAGCGGACTTGATCGAGGTGAGTCTTTTTCCGGATGAATGCTTGCTTGCTTCTTTTTCTCTATTTCGGAGGGGGGGGTGGGTTTCAGGGGGGGAGGGAGAAGGGGAGGGCTGAGTCACCTGGGGTTTATACCAACTACGAACCCCATGCACCGTTGGCAATGCACTTTGTCACAATGTTTCCAGGAACTTGTTCTGTTTTTCTTTTGTTGTGTGAATGTCAAGAATTTATCTCTTCAGCCATTCCAGTGCCTAGAAACTTGAAACGAGCTATGTCAACAAGAAGCTATGTCAACCTCATGCCTAGGGCGATTTGCAGGGATAAACGTCCTGGAAACGAGCTGGCTTCAAATCGGGGGCGACCATAAACTAAGAGGCTAACACTTAAGTGAAAGAAACTTAGATAACGATAAAACGAAAAAGGAACTAGGTTTATTGTGATTGATTGATTTTAAATTTAAAATTGAAACATTTAGACAAAATGTTTCGAAATGTGCCATCCACTGTTCTTAGGTCCCGCGAATTCTTCGAATTAACGTAATTATTGTCTATCTCTCTTTCAGGTCGCATGCCAGAAGTGTTGCTTCCCTCTTCCAACCTTCTTTACGGAGACATTTGCAATGCGTTAGAGAGAGAAGGTAGAATAAGAACGTTCTCAATTACATTTTACTTTTCGTTTTATGACTACTGTCATTGTTTCAACGTTGTTAAAAAATTCACTGTGAAGCGTTAATGAAGCACAAACGTAACCCCGTAACATAATACCGTGATTATCTTATAGGAATTCCTGCTTTCTAGGGAAAAGTACGCTAAAAGGTAATCAATGTTTTAGCATGAGTTTGCTTTCCGTGAAGAATCTCGGATAAGTGAAAAAAATGTGAATGGGATCGTGGCGAGAGGAGGAATGGAGAACGCGAACAGAACTCAATCTTCTTGAAAAACCGAACAACCTTAATCGAAAACATGAGAAAAAAAGGCGAAAGAAATCATTTTAAAGTTGATAAGGTACTACTGGATTGGCTTAATCTTGCTTCAGTTAACCACGGACCGATCTATCTTTTGTTTTATTTTATCTTCCTTCCTGGTGATTATAGGCAAAATTAGTGTTGGCCTCAACACAAAATACCCTGGTGTCACACATCAGAAGTCGTACCAAACTAGGAATAGTTATCGCTCCTCGACTCAGTCTTGCTCTTCCATGGACAGCAGGAGTGCGTTTTACAGGTAGAAATATTTTCTCTTTATATTATCCACCCTGTTTCCCACATACCATCCCCGTTTTTTTGAATGTATTGAATATCTGTCAACAGGCTATTTTTTCGCAGACTACAAGGTCAAAAATTTATGATTCTATTAAATCTGAGTGCCTTATCAGTAACAAGTTGGCAAGAATGTCTTATTTCATTGTGTGTTCAACATTTAATTTCTCATAACCACTTCACTGCATACAAAACGATGCGGGAACGAAGTAGAACACGCCAAGTGGACCAAGTCTTGACATGGTACCAAAATCTCTGAACTTATTATAAAATAATTGTGTCGCCATCAGTGAAGAGAATTAATGCTTTACTAGCTCTGTCATGGCTGGTAGACAAAGCCAAATGGTGTCGAGTTGTGACTTCAGGGTGAAGGTGACAGCTCTGGTTAATTTCATTTTAGTCCAACAAAACGAAGGGAAGAACATAGTCATACAAGACGGACAAAGCAGATGTCTACGAGGAAACAGCAGCAGCAGCAGCAACAACAACAACAACAACAGCAGCAGCAGCGGCGGGTGTCGTCATCACAATATGTACGTAGTCAAATATCTTCGCAGGGTCAATCAATCAATTCTATTAATTTTATGCATCGCTGTTATAATGTAACGAAAACCTGCCACTCAGCCGCTGGTGTCTTCGACCCCGTAGAAAAAACATATTTTTGCAAACCCGCACAGCTTCTCGACTAACGTCCATGTCTCCAATAGTCTCTCTCTCTAATTTGACTCAATGCACCGTATCGAAACATCACGGTAAGACGTTTGCGACGTCGCCACTTCAACCGCAACTGTTACCAGCGTTAACAATTTCTCTTTCTTCCCGAAACAGAATGTGTCCCATAAACGACATGACCGACCTATGTATTACTCTCCAGTTCCTCAAGGTGGAGCAAGTTGGAGCTTGCCCTTGTCCTCTAGCAAAGGGTATTACCAGGAACAACAGTGTGCCCAACCCAGCGTCTATTCAAGTGGTCATCACGCTTGTAAACCTAAGCCAGTGACAACTAGATCCAGTAGGGTAGCACAACGGGCTTACACACAACAAATAAGAGAATATGAAATCTTTGCCGGGATTCAGAACTTAAATCTACGTGCAAACCCGAGCCACAGCAGCAAGAACTTCGCAGCAGGCGAGAACAGGCTCTCGCGATCTTCGCTACGACCGAGGGAGGTATCGCCACCGGGATTGGTGTCGCCAGGCTCCAAAAGTGCGTCAGCAGCTTCTTACAATCCAGTTGGCTATAGGAATGAAGGCAAAACACCACCGACTGCAAGACCTCGTCGGCCCAAGTCTAAAGCGTCTAAGCCATCAGCTAGCCACCATTCCCAGTCTTCCGCTCGGTGAAGGAATGAGCTAGTACTTGGATCTCCAGTAGGCGGTGATTATGGTCAGCGGCTTTTCTATGATTCATCTACACCGGGGGATTCACCACGGCCTTCTGATGACAGTCAGTCAGTGAGCGATTCACCAAGGTCTTCCCATAAAAGTTGGTCAGACTATTACAATGATGTCGCTCCGCCCGATTATGACGATTTTTCCCTTGCAAGTCAACAGCGAAAGCCGCCGAAATATTTGAATCAATAGGCATCAGTGATTATGTTTCGACTGATAGTATTATAAATATCACTGATATTTATAATACTATCAGTCGGAACATAAGCTAGGGTGGGGAGGGGTCAGGGTGTCTGTATAAGACAAGGCAGACGCTGAGAAGTAATGTCAGACATCTCGGAGAACGATTTAATACACGAACAATGACAGGGAGTTAATTATTGTTCAAAGAATTTAACGTTTTGCTATTTATAGTTAGAGCACACTGATTGGAGTACAGCTCAGGGAATGAACTAAGGAGGTCTGTGAGAACCTTTCTTTGGTCAGAAAAGAAGGCCAGTAGTCCAGTCCTTGAACCCTCTCGAACTCTCCGGACCCTTCTCCGCTATATATAGGAGTTCAACCCAGATGGGAGAACGATCTCTCTTCTCCCTCCTGGGTTCAACCCTTGTATCGAGCGTGGAAGGGAGTGTTTAGGGACTGGACTAGATAGCTAGCTAATAATCAATCAGAATCGATAGTTATCTGTTTATCAGTACTTTCGGCTTAGCTGATGTTATAAAAGTTGCCTAGTCTTCGTATAATCTGACATACCAAAATAATAACAACAACCTTATCTTAGACTGATTGTTCACGTTACCAATGGATGATCTTTCGTTTACATACAACAAAAAGACGTCTTTTTTTTTCGATTCGTTATTTTGCAAAATTGTAGAGCTAGTTTTAGCGTTTATTTCTTTAAAGCAGAAATCTTCCTTTGAAAAAAAATTGGGAATTGAAAGATATATCTTCAGTAATAATGTAGTGTAGGGGGGGGGGNAAATTAGGAGACTTCGACTGGAAACTATTATGGAACCTGGTACCCACCTCCTGTTTCTAAATCCTCCTGTCCCCCCGCCCCTTCCGTCACCCCGACGCATTTTGGAGCAGCGATTCCGAGAGTAGAATACGTCATTCCAGATTTAATAAGTTTTGAACTTAATTTTTCACCAAGATGTTGCACGTGTAAAATATCTTAGCCAAGTATATCGTATTGCTTAGTATATAAAAAGGTATGTAGTTTAGCTAACCGTTTCCTAGATTCGACTACATTGTATGGAAATATGTGCTCTCAGATTACAATTGACAATGTAAAATGTTTTGCAACAAATATCGCGTTTACAGTAAAAATGTGAGGTGTTGCTGTAGTTCACCTACATGTTTGTGACTTTGTGCGCGCGTGCACTCGCGAGGTCCACACGCAGCTAAGTTTGGCCATTGTTTAGTCTCGAAATGATCTGATGATTATCTTGTTTCTCTATACCGAATCTCTACATTGTAGTCACGAAAGTACGTTGATTAGCATACGAAACGCCAAGATCATAAAATGCACGTTTTTAAAATGTTTATCACCGCTGTTTGTGTTATATTTTTAATCAAAGTAAAAGTGATTTAGTCTTGATAGACTACCAAACTCTCGCATCTAATGTTGTAAGAAAATGTATGTTAGACAGGTACCAGCAAAACTTTTTTTTTTTCAACCTTTTTTGTTGCGGATAATAAATGTTAATCGAAACAAGAAAAGCATCGCTTTTATACCGGGCTTTTGGTTAAAGCCTTCGTTAATAACTTTAAACTGTGAAGTGTGTAGCTTTGACCATCGAGTTATGGGCTATAAATTAAACCAGAGTGAATGAATGGAGGACGACGAAGAAAAAAAAAAAACGAATATGATCCACGTTCTCTCCGATCGAAAACCTCTCCAAGTACTTTCTAAACTAGCCCTGGAGCAACAAGTTATAAACTCGTACCTTTTGATGCTGGTCAACCAAATATTTTATTATTTCGTCAGGTAAAGGGCCGTAGAGATCAGCTCCAGTCCTGAATATACTAAAGCCACGCCATAAACGGAAGAAGATAGAAATCCGTCTGCGTTCGCAGGGTACTTTCGTGTCCACATACACTGTGGTCCGCGTTCTTTATCAGGACGCCCAAAAGAAAGATCACCGCACTCCGCCATAGACACGCCGCGTCCTTCATGACTTCACAGAGTGTTGCTTCCCATACTTATATCTTAACCGATAAACAATAACGGCATAGAAAATGCAGGTTTACATTACAGCCAAGAATGTCATTGAATACCACATGTGGCACTAAATTTGTGCAGGAGTTTATTTTTGCGAATCGGCGATTTTTTTGTATTTTGCGGAAACTAATTTTTGCTATTGAAAATATTGATTTTTCTTGCTGGATCCTAATTGTTTCGATTGTCGGGAAGTTGCATTTAATTGAAAATACAACATTTCCGCATTTTTTAAATTAAAGTTCATGCAATTGACAAGTGAAAGAAAATGTAGAGATGTAAAACACAAACACACAAGTAATCAGTGTCACTCTATTGTAGAATGCCCTTCTGAATGTATTATCTTTGGACGATCCTTTCCTGTACTTTTTTTTATTTATTTCTGAACGTTTTGTTTCTCATTCTATCGTTTTGACGTTTTCAATAAATGGCAGCAGCAAGATTCTACTTGTGATATTTGTATGTGTAATTTCGCCAGTGGAGTAAGTTTTTGCGGGAATTTTATTTTGGGGGAACGTTTCTTGCGGATCACTGTAAAAACTGCAAAAATTAGAACCCGCCAAAATTTTGTGCCACACGGTACAATGCCCAAATATAGATGGCAAGATGAAAGTTAATGAAAAACTCAGCCACGTGGCACATATTCTCCAGAAACTGAAATCCGAAACTTGATCATTTTCTTTATTGGTAAAGGAAAATAAAAGACGTATAATGCATGCGCAAGCCATATTTAATTAAGTTTCAGTAATGATGGATTATGTAAAGCTTTCAAAAACGCAAAAATACTTATGCATAAATAGAGCAAAAATAATGCTAGGGTGATTCTAAACCTTATGTGCTTTTGGAGGAGGTTTCGTGACGGTTACACAACGAGTACTTTGAAGTTGGAACATTTTGAGGACGATTCTATCGAGATGGGAGTTCGCGGGCTGACCAGCTACGTCAACTCAATCGAAACTCTCTGGAAACGTCAGACCAAGCTCAAAAACACAAAACTTATCATAGACGGGTCCGGCTTATGTAACGATCTTTACAGGAACGCCTTCGACTGTCGACATGGAGGCCAGTACGAAGAGTTCCACGACGCTGTACTTTCGTTTTTCAATGCGCTTGATTCTAACGGTGTAGAATCCTTTGTAGTCCTCGATGGTGCACAACATGCAAGCGGCAAAAAGTTAGAGACACACAAGAAAAGGGCAAATCAGAGAATCGAAACATCTTGTGCCTTAGCCGAGAATCGGGCACCAGAAAAGGGCGAAGACTTTCTACTTCCGGCTTTATCGAAGCTTGTGTTTCTGCAGGCGCTGATGGATCATAGCGTCAAATTCGCGGTCTGCGACAGGTAGGATGCAATATTACAGTATTAAATGTTAGCATAATAGTCGAATGGTTAGGTGACTTGGAGACTGTTACCAGCGACTGGACATATCTCCTTCGTTGTATGGCGAGAATAAAATTTGCCGAGCGAACATAAAGGATGGTGACATCTTGTCGATGTCAGCTGTCAGAATGAACTAAATAATCTACATTTCAATTGATTTCACCAATTTTAGAATATTAGAATATTAGCTTGCGTAGCAAACGCTGGAGTAATAGGAAGCGAATTGGAGCGGCGTAAGACTGAGAAAACGTTCGCGGGCGGAGGCACGTGAGGTGAAGGAAATGCTTATTCCACTTGTCGCTTGCGTCTCCACGCGAACTCGCGCCTTTTCACGATCATTCGAGCGTCTGCTATGCAGACTTCATTTTTATTCATGCTAGCGCAAACATTCTTGGTTCTCGATCTTCCGACGAGGCATGACATTTCATTGAATAGAGAATAATGGATTGAGCATATGCATTGGGTGACGTTAGTGATATTGTTTCAGTTTCCAGGCCTTTTAATTCTTTTAAACCTGAAGGATTTATTTCAAATAAACAACTAGCGTAGCTTACCCAGGATGACTGTAGATGTGGCGAGAATTGTACCGTGATTTAGAAAATGGAAAGGAAGGAAGGGAAGTGGGGGAGCGACGAGGTCGTTACCTCTACTTTCTTCCTTGCCTGCCACTCAAATAATGAACGCCAGGAGTGGTGGGGGGACTCCCATATGAAAAGGTCGGGGATACTCGTCGGAAAATTTGAATTAAACCCCCGAAAAGAGTTTGGGCGTGGCTCGAGCTTTATTTGATCCCTTAAAGATACTACTTAAAACGAAATAGGCTTCCGCTCAGTAAAAAGGACTGGAGAGACCTTCAGAAACCGGGCTTAAAAACGGAAAGAAGAGCGTTTTTAATTATTATTTCTTTGAGTACGTCTCGTCATAAACAGAGACCAGAGACCAGAATCCTTGATTTATACCTCTAAAGGCTGGTTTTCACTAGCGACGGAGTCGGAGTCGGAGTCGTAGTCAGAGACGTAAGAGTGCTTACGACCTAGTGAAAATCGAAAATCGGAGTCGTAAGCGGAGTCATAAGCTCGAAGGAATCGGAGTCGGAAGAATCAGAACGTTTCCATTTCTTCCGATTCCGTTTACGACTCCGTCGCTTATGATCCAATGAAAACTAGATTGTCGGAGTCGGAACCAGAAGCGGAAGAACCAACCAATCACAAGGCCCAGAATGGATCATTGTAATTGGTTTATTCTTCCGCTACAGCTTCCGACTCCGACAATCTAGTTTTCACTGGATCGTAAGCGACGGAGTCATAAACGGAATGGTTGTTCTTCTTCCGACTCCGTCGGTTTGATTTTCACTAGTTCGTATCACTCTACGCTTCTGATTATGACTCCGACCACGACTCCGTCGCTAGTAAAAACCAGCCATGAGCGAGACGACGACCATCACTGACCTTTTCATACAAAGGGGATGAATTTCATGACAAAAGGATACAGCTGCCTGGTTGCAACAAGCTTGTCTAAGTACATCTTTATGTTTCTTTCAGCGAAGCAGACAATGAAATCGCCTCCTTGGCCAGCACTTGGAACTGCCCTGTTTTAGGCAATGACAGCGACTTCTTTATCTTTGATATAAAAGACGGCTACATCCCACTTTCTTCTTTCAACTGGAAGGCTGATGGGTTAACTGCCGACATTTTCTATCGAGAAGAACTGGCATCGCACTTTGGAATCCGCGCAGAATTTCTTCCTTTGTTCGCTTCTTTGGTGGGGAATGATTACGTCAGTTTCGAGGTATTGGCAGAGTTTAGACCCACACTGAATCGCGGAAAAGCGTCAAGATTTGCAAGCATTGCTAACATTCTATCGGACTCAAGGACAGAAGAAGAGGCGCTCGAGTCCGCGCTACGAATGGTAGGGTCAGCGGTAAGCAGAGATAAACTAAGACAAGCTGTCGACCATTCTCTCCAGGAATACAAGATCACAGAGTCAAATTTACTGCACTTTTTCGATAGTGGTGTGGTCGACAGCTCCTTGAGGACTCAAAATGGCCGTAAAATTGAAGAATGGATCTTGCTCAAGTTTCGCAAGGGACTGTTCTCAGCCAAATGTATGAACGCCTTGACAACGGGGAAAATCCTTCTCAGAACTCAGGTTGAAAACTGTGAGGAAGTATCGGCTAATCAGTGCTCTCAGCGCCTGAGGAAAGTCATGTATGGCATTTTAAACGATGCTGCAGCTCACGACGGGAGAGGAAATATAACGATGGTCCAAGAATGGGACAGAGAGGGCTTAGAGGTCAAGTCGTCAAATGTGCCACCCTACCAGGAGGGCGTGGTCGCTAGAGTGAGTCTCATTCCGCGCTTCGAGAAAGAAGTAAGATTAGAGATTTTGTTAAATGCGCTTGATTTAAACACAGCTTGCATCAAGTCCTTGCCGGAGAAGTTTAAATTAATTGCAGCGTCACTACGTTTCCTCGTTAATAACGCTCAGCCAATGTTAAAGGTGAACCATCTCGTCTCTTTACTCTGCTGTTGTCTTATTTTGGAAGACGATTCCACTGAACATAAAGGAAACGCTGAGACCAGTACGTTTGATCTAGGAGCGGCACAAAGCTTTTCTCAGTGGCAGTGTGTTTTGAGGGACGCCATTGATCTTAACTTCATTTTGTGTGAGCCCTTAACTACACTGTGTGTTCACAAGACGTTCAATGGAAAACTGGCTCATAGTCTGCAGGAAAAGTTAAATCAAGGTATATCTTTCCGGTACAAATGCGTACAGACAATTTGTTTTAAAATCTGACAAATATCGAGAGTGTCAAGGCTGTGTAGCTCTCTCTCCTAGTCATTTAATGCTAAAATCTTACTCCAGACCAAAAGGACTTGAAAGCCACATCCTTTGGCACCACGCACACCAATATAGCTTATATTAGGGCGTACCCTCTGGGGGTCCTAGAAATGGAACACACCAAGCTAACACAGTCGTGGGAAAAGGATTCCGGATATGGTTGGATTACCGTCTCCGAAAATTGACTCGGCTTGTAATTTTCGTCCAAGAAGCGTCAGCCAATTGGCCATTTCCGAGTTAGGTTGTGCCTCTGTTTCAAAATGAGTCCTCGTGCAAAGTCTTTCATATGAAGATGTATTTGATTTGCACGAAAGTGAACCTATAGCAGAATTGTTGTGCATCAAGTCTCATTTTGATATAGAGGCACAAGGGAACTCGGCAATGGCCTATTGCCATGTGCTCGCTGACTGGTTGTTCTAGCATGAGGGAATTTTCACGGGGCGCAACTGTTTTCTACTTGCTGCTGTAATCGACTTTGCTTTAAGTAGGCTCTACTCTTTTCCTGGATGTTTCTTATCATCGGTTGTAGAGAATAAAACCTTCTCCTCTTCTCTTCGCTTCTAGATTCAAATTATATAAACATCACTACATGCTATATTGAGAAACAGAATGAGAACTGTTTGCTTTACATCTTTCAGGTCGAACCCCAGAAGAGCTGCTTCCATCCTTTAGAAACCAGTTGTTTTACAAAGAACTTAACAACGCAGTAACTGATGGCTTACAGGCAAAGCTGATCAGTGATGAGGGGCAGAAAAGTTTCTGTATTTATTTTGTTGTCGTATTGCTAGTGGTATTTTGTTGCGTCGGATTCTCTCTTCTTCGAGTATGAAAGAAATTACTGCCGTATATTTCCCCCATTACGAACAACTTAGGCCCAGTGCACACTACAACACCTGAGGAATTTGAAATTACACGGGGGTTTCACTCTGAAAAATCATCAAATGTTTTCCATTCACACTACGCCGGAGAAATTTCAAAACGCAACAATAAACCAATCATTTTGGATTTGTGTTTGAGGAAAACTCGGTCAGCGAAATCACATTACTATCGTGATGTTATCGTTTTGGAAAAGCCCCGTTCTAGGTAGGCCTAGCCGTAGAAATAAAGTTGCGTTTTCAAATTGTTCCGGCGTGGTGTGGACGCTGCCTTGAAAGTATTCCCGTCGCGTTTATATCCAAGCTTATATAGTTTGGTGTCGTTTGGTTATATACTACGAGCATGAATCTTTTCTAGTATGCATTTCATTTCTCATATCACGATTCGACAGAAAGTATTCCCGTTGCGTTTATATCTAAGCTTATATAGTTTGGTGTCGTTTGGTTATATCGGATTTTCTCTGCTACGAGCATGAATCTTTCCTAGTATGCATTTCATTTCTCATATCACGATTTAACGGAAAGGATTCCAATTGCGTTATTTTGTTAGATCTTAGTCTTAAGTCGTTATCAACGAAATAATCTGGGTGTAAGATTATACATGTCCTTGAAAAACCACAAGGAATGACGAGCAAGGGGAAAAGAAATCTATTTAAATATATGTTTATTTGTTCGTTAGAATAAAGAAAATATAGCTATATACAAGAGTAATAGTAAGTCATTTTACACTGAATTTCATGGCTGTCTTCAGCAATTGATATATACTATTTATGACATATAACAAGGCTCCTCTATGTATTCCAAAATGATTACATCAATTTCTAATTTTTCTCCAGAACTGGAAATTCAAATCGTAAAAAGCAATCTAATTCATACGCTATTCTATCGTCAGATCGGTGAATATAATTTTCCTGCAACACTGAACCCTAATAAACAATCGACTCTTAATGCCGACATACAAGCAGCTAAGCCCTAAAACGGACAAAACCATCAGTGTTCCTAAGATAGTAAATGGAATTTACCTAAAAAGTCGCAATTCTGCAAGGAAAATCAAAATTTAAATCGAATTTTGACCGCAAAACTTAAGGTTTCAGCAAAGAACTGAAACGTTACTTGTTTTAAGAAAATAAATATTCTATGATTCTTCGAGGCAGCAAGCTTCTTTAAAGATCCCGCGGTTTTTCGTCAAAACGTTGCCAAGCAAAGCCATTCGTTGCTAAGGACCATGAATTATCGCCCTTGTCCTATTTTTCTGACTGGATAATATGTGGATGATTCTAAGAATTTAGCAAAAAAAGACACTTGCTGATGTGAAAGAATGGCAGGCTTAAAATAAATGCCCCATAAAAACGTTTCAAAGATTAAAAGTAATACAAAATAAATATAATTGCCCCCAGTTAAGATATCTCGGAACCACTGAGATATTATAAAAAGTTCTATGAAAGATAAAAAAAATTTACACATAACTAGCGTACAAACTCTGCACGGGACAGTATATCATACCTAAAATTATTTGATATTTCTCTCCACTATTTGAATTGTGTTAAAAAATGTTCAAAACTTTACCTTGTAATCGTGAATTAAGCCTGCTCCAATTTCATTCCAATCTGCTTGAAAATGAGAATTACATTGAATACGCGATGCTGCAGTCGATCAATGACCTTTTGATTCCTGTGTGACATCTTTATGTTGGTTTTCCATTGCTAAGCCAATCAAAAGGTAAGTTAGTCAATGAAGGCAGGGTAAGCAAAGTAACCGCAAGCTACTGACCGAAAAGTTTGGAAAACCAACAAAAAGTTGTCCGGAAGTTGTACTTGCAGATAACGATTCTTTGATTGGCTCGAAATTTTAGAAAACCAACACAAACATGCCAAAAGCCCTCAAAGGTGTGGCGCCTTTAGACGTAAATATGCAGGCTAAGCGGGGCAGAGGGGAGACTGGTCTTGTCTCATCTGATTCTCCTCTTTTCCTTTTAAGTCACGTGATAGCGTCTTGACCAATAACACCATTGTGGTAAACATCGCCCAGTCATAAAGCATGTCCATTGCCATGTTTGCGTAGAGGTTACAGCTCGTTAACTTATTTCATCCAGGCGATCGTTACAGTTACTTTTACCGTGGTTTGATCCAATCCAACTCTCCATTCATTCGAACATGGAGTCTAACTCAGTGGAGAAGTCATTTAACATGCTGTTGATGTCCTTCAATAGATCTTCAGCTATTCTACAATGAAGAGAGCATGATAGAGCAATTAATTCGACAAGCACGAGACGGGGTTAACAGTATATAATTTCGCGATCATAATCTGACACTGATAGTTTAGTCACGAGAGCAAGCATGAAACAAGAGTCGCCCAGCGAGGTGGGAAAAGCTTACAGTACTAAAAACACTGCACTTTAATACTTATCCAGGACCCAAACAGCCCAAAGTGATTTATAGGGCTTACTCTTTGAATTACGAAAGTAACGCTAGCGTAATGCAAGCGAGGCGAGAGAAGCTTTGCGCCCGCCTCGAAATCTCGCAACATTACATTAGAGCATTTACATGGCCAGCTGTGATCGGATTCTAATTTTTTTTTTTCAACAAATCAAAATAAAGTCATTTATCAAGGTCATGAGAATTAACGAACTGATTTCTATAGAGAACTCGCCTTGATATATAATCGTCTTCACCTAACTATTACTATGACAACTAAGTAGGGTCTCTACTAAAGAGCTTAGAAGAATTTGTATGTTGAGCTTAAGATTTAAAGCAATTTTATGTACGTACTCTTGCTCCTTCTTCGCCGCTTCCGTGTCTACAGACTCCGCTTCGATATTTACTTCGGGCACAGCTGAAGGTGACACAGAGGGTTCTGTGACAAAATTAGCACGATAAATAACATTGCAAGCAGAGAGGTCAGCAAGGTTAGCAACAGCATGACGTATTCCAAGAGTATTCAACGGTAACTAACCCAATCAGAGCGCGAGTATTTGTCACGTGAGCCCATACCTGTTAGGTCAGGTCACGTTACTTAGCAACAGCCCTGGCGAAGAACCCGGCTTCAGGTTACTCTCGGAGATCAAAAAGCCGGGGAAGCAAGCAATTACCTTTGCCTCCAAAAATTGACCAAACCCGTGCAAGCGACAGCTTACAATCCAAAAATAGGAGGTATCGCCCATTCAGCGTCGTTCACTTTTAGAATGGATAAATTTCACCCACTGGACAGGCCGTTTACCCAAGAGAAAACGTTATTCATTCCTGGCACAATCGTTGTCTGCACTATATAATTCTAAAACGACGCCAAAGTGGCTATTATTCCGTGACTGACTAGCTTAGTGCTCATGTCACCACGCACACGCAGTGCATCTGAGCGCGCCCGAGCAAACTCTCTATGTGGAGACAGTCAGTCCTAGCAACTGAGCGGCATTTTACGCCAGTATATTACCAATCAATTACCGTAATCTACAATGGTGGACAAAAGTCCTTGGGACACTAGTGATGAAATTCAACGAATTGTATGTGTTCTACAACTGAAGTTTTGAAAAAACGCTGCTATATACATTTACAAATGCGTTGCTGAAAAGTCAGAAGAAATTGCAGGTACTAGTTTTCCACATTGTGTGTGGGGTGAGAGGAGAGGCTAGGGAGGTGTTTGCCTGGCGTGTGTCACCAAAAGTGCAAATTTGCCCCGAGACTTTTGTCCATGATTGTAGCCTTACAGCGTAAAAGAAAGACGGCTGAGCCGTTCTCCCAACGGTACACAGAACTCACAGCTCCTTTTTTTTCTGGTTTATTCACCGCACAACTCACTGAAAGGACTTATAACTCACAATAAACTCTAGAAAAACTCCTTCGCTACTCGCTATTTTGTCACGTCCCGATTGTCTCATCCTGCTCGCATGTGTTCATTACCTTATTTAGTGGTGATCGCATGTGTCACAAACTAAGAGGGGTGGGGGTCGGTTAAAACTCTTGTACACGGCTTCTGAAGAGGGTCTAAAGCAACAATGCAGTAAAATATTTACCTGTGGTTGGTACTTCTGATAGATCTTCTCTAGAACGATTTCTGAGAATCTGTTTAATTTGTTCATCCAGTTCACCATCAGCTGTAGGAATGAGAAGAACATATAAGTCAAATGGCCAATCGTTATTCCAACTGCTTCACTGATCAGTAACCACTGCAGTTCAGTTCGTCTTCAGAGCTAGCTAGCTTTCTATTGGCCAGCACCACGAACGCTGACGCTGACCAGCTCCGATTATTTGAACATGCGCAGGGAGGTCAGTTTTCAATGCCAGCCCATCAGATTTCAAGGGGGAGGGGGG